AGAGAGAGAGAGAGAGAGAGAGAGAGAGAGAGAGAGAGAGAGAGAGAGAGAACACTCATATCTCACAAAACGTGCCTGGAACAAGTGATAGATTGTTTGAAACTGGACTGGGTCATCTGACGCCTTGTGTCAAGTTTAATTTTTATTTTCGTTTCTTTGATCCGAATTTTATCGCCGACCAGACCACTTTGTAATGACGTCAACACGGAATTGTTGTTTACATTGGAGGGCGTCGGCGTTATGCATACCCTGTGAGTGACGAAACCAGCCGCTCTTGCGAGATCGCGTCTACAACAGGGCAAAAGAAGCCGACACAAAAACGAACTTAATGCTGCCACCGCACACTTCATCCGCCCTTTGAGTGACGAAGCGAGCCCCTGTCAAGACAAAAATCTGTGAATCTGAGCGAAAATCTTGAAGCCGGAATCGTATTTTTCATCTAGAATCTAGAACCACCAGCACAAGAATATCAGATTCTGGCGATGCGTCATCCTGTGGCAAGTGCCAGCCATGACACGTGGAGAACAGCTTTGTTTTCATGGGTTGCTGTCAGCCATATGCAGTTGTATAATTAATATTGCCTTTTTTCGAGGTCTTGAGAGGATGCTAGTTAGCACTGGATTAAATAAAAAATGATTATTTGTATTGGTGATATAATACTTTTCTCATTTCGTGGTGTGGTTATTGCGCCCCTTGCGAATCGACCGACGTAGTAGTATCGTAGCCCTACCTGTACATGTAGGAATTTTCATAGCACGACTGGATTTTTTGGGGGGTCAATGGTTCGAGAATCTGGGCTCAATTCTAGACTCCCGCTAGTGGTTAATGGTTGTTGTTCAGTATCGCAACAAAAATTGGAGTTGAAAAAGGTCTTACTGATTCAACAACACATTCCCTCCCCTCTTTGTTTCTCTTTTTCTCTTCTCTCTTTGTGTCGCCCAATCCCTGTTCTCTCTTCTCGTTCCCTTTCTTTCACTGTCTCCTCCTCTCTCTTTTTATTGGACCGTCTAGTAAGTATCTGTCTACGCACCCTCCCCCCCCCCTCCTTTCTTTCGGTCAGTTCGTACAAATTAGCTGCGTAAGCACTGGGCCATTGAAACAAAGATTGAAATTGTGGAGAGTGTTTGAATGGATTGGAGATTTCAGACTTTTTTTTGCAAACTACTTCGACCCTCGTGGGTTTCTCCTAGTTTTGTCGTAGATAATACACCGGTAAAGAGGTATTTTCTGCGTCTGAAGAGACTGTCTTCAGTGAATATGGAATTTATTACTTATTTACTTACATTAATCCCCTCCTTCCTCCTCCATGTGTACGATTTCCAGCATGGCCATTAATTTCACCCTCTCCCCCACTTACTCGCCTTTGTTTCGCAGGAAGTTCAAATGGTCACTTTTAAGGACAAGCGGGCTAACCCAGATTTCGGGGGTTTCCAGAAATCTTGACCTACACCAAAAGTGGGCATTGCCCTACCTATAGGAGAAGTTTGGTTTCATTGATGTGTATATTTGTTTGGTTATAGAGAAAACTCTCCTTGTCTTGAGGAACTGAAAACAAGGGTCCAAAAACTTTACTTTCGAGTTTCTCTAAACAGCATTCTTCGGGATGGCCCCCTTGTGCTTGAAAGCGACCAAATAATACTTACACTGATCTGCTTTCCTCGGAAACGAGAACGGAGATGGATCGCATTCTGTCATTAATTAATTCTTTCTTTGTCTTTTTTCATTACTCTTTTGTTTGGCGTTCGTTCTTTAGTTCATTCTTCCACTCTTTTAATTCATTCACCAGTCGGTGTTCCCATCCTTCTCTCTTTATCATTAACTAGTTCGTTCTTTTGTTCTTTCACTAGCTACGATGACGGTGTGTTGGAGGTGATGGGACTTTTCTCCTCCTTCCACATCGCCCAGCTGCAGATAGGCCTGGCCACGCCCCTAAGACTCGGACAAGCCAAGACCGTCAAGGTAGGCACACACGTTTTGTCGCTTTGTTTTGGGTAGTTGTTTTTCTCTTTTCAAGTTTGAATTGAACTCATAAGCATGTCAACATCATGTTTCGGTGTTATGAAGTACTGTAGAAGAGCAAAACTTCCTCGATTGGGGTTGATTCTGCGAGCCACTAAAAAGTACGCGTGTGTAAAAAAAAAAAGGGGGGGGGGGGGCTGTCTCACCCTCACCCTATTTCTTTTGGGCGTCTTCCTTGACTAAAACTAACAAACTCACCACGAAAGCGTCCCACGTAGTTGGAGGGTGCCCCTGGTTGGTCCTACTTCTTTACTTTCCCCTCTGCTATTTTGCTCTGCCTCTCTTACCTTTTCCAAGCACTAAACAACCATTATTGTGTCGATGCGCTTCTTTCTTTTTACTGAAGCAATCAAATTCACCCTTAAAGCGTCGTATGTGGTTTGGAGAGGGGGGGGGGGCGCAACACTGGTAGGTCTTACCGTTTCACTTTCCTACTTTTGTTTCTGTCTGTCTGTCTCACTTTTTTCCCAGTACGAAATGCCCACTGTTAGGCCTTTCTTCTTTACTTTCCCTCTCTGTTATTTCTGTCTGTCTGTCTTACTTTTTTGCCAGCACTAAATGACCATTATTGTGCCGACGTGCTTCTCTTTACTCAAACAAATAAGCAAAACTAAATAACCATTATTGTGTTAATGTGCTTCTCTTACCTCAAACAAACATTATTAAAGTATCACCCCCACCCTACCCCCATCCCACCCCGTTTCTCTCCCACAGATCTCCCTCCAGGGCAGCAATGCTCCGATGCAGGTGGACGGCGAGCCGTGGGAGCAGCACCCGGCGGAGATCTACGTCACACACAGAGGACAGGCCGCCATGATGGCTCTCGGGATCGACGGGGCCGGCGCTGGTACTAGCGTCGGATGAGCTGAGGCCTTGACGCTCAGAGATAGTATAAGAACGTATAGTATGAGGCTTAGGCCCTGCACACATTAGGAACATTCTACACAATTCAAGGCTGCAGGTATGCGAATGAGGCAGTTTTTGTCTGCGTTGCTCTCTTTTCACCACCTAATGACGTCAAGAGTTGTACTTCGCAGCAGTTCGACGAATGGGAGCATGACCTTAGTGTGTGTGACTCAATGGTTGTTGAGTCCGCAAAACGTGGCTTTAGAAGCAGCAAAAAAACAACAACCAACACACACACACACACACCAAAAAACCGGGAGTACAAAGGAAGAACATAACTGATAAACGATCAAAGTCACATTTTCGGAAAATGACAGTTTGAAAATATAAATACCTTCAGGTTTTTTTTTCCTTTTGTGGTACCCAACCTTAGAAAGGGTTAAGGAGCCAGGACTGCGCAAGTTGCTCAGCTTCAGTGTTTGAGATCAAACTTAAGAAACAGGACACATGCTATAGCGATAAATCAGTGATGATGATGATGATGATGAGGTTGATGATGATGATGATGATGATGATGATGGTGATTCATCGATCATATCATACTTTTGCATTATTGTGAACATCTCGCTTCTGCTTGCTCAGGCCTTTTGAGTTGATGCTCACAGGACATCATGCTTGGATTTCTTTTTTCGATCATGTTTTTGTGATAGGCCGGGTACAGATATAACTTCTCGAACATGTAACTATTTTACCAAATGGAGTTCTGTGTGTCTCCTTAATCAACATAGTCCGAAGGACATGCCACTACAATCTGGTGCTTATTGATTTTAAATAGATCGAAGTCGACAGTTTATTCAAGTTGAACATCCGTAGAAACTCGGTTTTAAGATAAGGGAGGCAGAAATTCCCAAAGTGTTCCTGCTCTCCACTGTCGTACATTTTATAAAAAAGCAACGACGTCGGAACAATGAAAAAGTATGTAATTTGCATTTTTTAAAAATGTAACGACACGACCAAAGACCTATTTAGCTATTATAACTAGCTCTAGTAAATATTACTCGCATTCACATTTTTTATTTCAATATCACAGGGTCGGAATGTATTCCGTTCCTCTTATTGTGTCATAGGAAAATATAACTACACCTATCAGTGTAAAAAATCCTACAAAATTATGCACATTTCTGTTTAAAGTCAAGTTAATCATTAATTTGTCTTGCCTATGCATCTCAAGGGGTAGATTCGTGTTGTTTTTTTGGTTTTTTGTTCTGTCATATTAAAGTACTTGCGGAGAACTTTCATACCATTCCAAATGTACGTGTTACCCTTATTTGTAAATTAATGATAATGTATGATGAAAAAGAGTATACAGACTGTCTGTTGCTACATTATTCCCTGTTCTGAATAGTGCCTGGAGGTCAATTAAAAGCTCGGGCATAGTAATTACTGGTTTCTATATTCGCTCAGCTCGACAAGGGAAATGCTTCCTGATTCTTTACAATCACAAATAAAGCAGTGAGTTAAATTGAAACTATTCCTAATCCCGCGCGCGCGCACACACACACACACACACACACACACACACACACACACACACACACACACAAACACGCGTCTGCTCTTTTTGGTATGTTCTTGCACAGACACGTATACTATGAGAGAGAGGGAAAGAGAGTGAGATTGAGAGAGAGAGAGAGGGAGACAGAGGAGAAGAATGAGAGAGAGAGAGAGAGAGAGAGAGAGAGGGGAGGGGGGAGAAGGAGAAAGAGGAAGGGGAGGGGACAGGGGAGAGATAGAGGGGGGGGGGGGGGCTGAAGGGTAAGAAAAAAGAAGCAGAGAGAGAGAGAGAGAGAAAAATATATATACATGTATATATATATATATATATACACTTTTGCCTCTCTCAGAGAAGTTTGTTGCAGTCTTGTTCATATTTATTGTTAATGACACAATGTGCAATCACGTACTGATGGTTATGATATTTTGCTCTTGGGTCTCGACGGGTGAACTACTCGTACAATGTAAAACAGCTGAGCTAATTTAATCTGTTATACCATGTTGTAAAACAGTGGCAGACGGAGAGGTGCGAGACACCACATGAATTTTTTTCTCTAGATATTAGATATTTTATCTAATTCTCACATTATGCTGTTTGTGGTAATCATACTCACGAAAGAGCAGATATGACTATTATTTATTCGTCTTGCTCTGCGATGAGGTCTGTGGGTTGTAATTATAATATCATGATACACTGAGATCAGGAGACACTCGATTGGTTCAGATTTTTTCTTCTTTGTTTTTATTTTAAAGAAAAATATTTTATGAGCTTGTACATTCGTTATTTATATACACACTTGTTTACTGCAATTTTGTTTCACTTGAAATGTACAACGGTCTGGTCCTTATGTGAAAACCAAAGAATGAAAAAAATCTTTTACGTTTTACCCGGTATCTTTTGTTCTTTGTTTTGTTGATTCATTTTCCATGCCAAGCCCAGTGGTAAGAAAAATAGTATTACTCTTTTGAAAAACATTTTGCCCCCTAAAAAATCTCTATCATGAATTTACATTTTCCTCAAAAAGACTATTGTCTTTCCTAACTCAATGACAATTTTTCCACTTCAGACTCTGGAAGTGGTGGAGGGTTATAGTCCTGCCTGTTTAACATTTTGTTTTGCTATCAGAACTTTTGTCTGAACTAAATTTGTTTTGTTGTAATAAGGCATGTATAACAACTTCACTTAAAAATCTGTCTACTACGAATATTACCATTCTCAGATATTACTTTTTATTACATTTCTTTGTGTGTGGATATTCTCTTCTTTATATTCTGGGATCAAGCTCAAAGAAGCAGGACATTTTTTGATTTTCCAACAGAGCACAATTTCCCGAGTACTTCTTTGTCTGTATGCATTAGGTGTCCCAATGTTGTAAAAGTAGGTTGTAAAATGAGTGGTTGTGAAGGCAACTGATTTGCCCCACGTATGTTAATTGGACATTGTGGTCTTTAGTTATGTTAGCTTTGAAAGAACTAGGGTATTGTACCCATTTATTTGATTTTGTCACTGTGTACATATTCTGTGTGAAGTCCTTTGGACCTCTTTTATAGCTGTGCTATTTTAAGAATGGCTTTTTATGGTTAAATGTTATTTTTTCTTATTTGAGCGAAATGCTGACTTGGTTTTGGAATTTTAACCTTTTTGGGGGATTGGGGGGGGGGGGGTGTAAAAGTTATTTCTTAATAGACAATTTGCACATTTTTAAAAAGAAACTCAAAGTTATGAGTATGATAATCATGACTTAGTTTTTACGTGCAAGTACATAAGTGGTACTTAATATTGTTACCAAAGAGGAAGGCGCTTTTTAACTTTAAATCTTTCTTTGCTGTACTAATGTTGCACCTCCTGGGAACTGTGGTGCAGTAGTTCTATGTCTTGCATACAGAAGACATAAACTAGAATCGCAAGTCTGGGAGATAATTGTATTGAGTATTTCCGTCCTTCTTTTTCGAGTCTGTATCCCGCTCACGAGAGAGTGGGTCTGACAGGTGTGGCGGAGACAGCCCGCCTCCTAAGAGACCTGAATTAAAAGAGACTATTATAATGTTTTCGTATATACACATATACACATGCACACCCCCCCCCCACACACACTCATACATCTATCTATCTTTCTATCTCTCTATCTCTCTATCTATCTATCTATCTATCTATCTATCTATCTATCTATCTATCTATCTATCTATCTATCTATCTATCTATCTATATGTCTGTCTGTTTGTCCGGCTGGCTGGCGGTCGGTCGGTCGGTCGGTTGGTCGGTCAGTTGGTCGGTCGGACTGTCTGTCTGTGTGTCTGTCTGTCTGTCCACACACATTTTTAGTAAAATGATGTATATACGCTATAGTAAAGACTAATACAAGTTCAAACTACTTTACTTTGAACACTGTGCTTTGATGTTCGGATGTGAACAGTGTAAGAAGGTCCCTTTGAGTTTATTTTTAAAAAGATGTTACAGGTGTGTGTACTATCGATTTGAATTGAGTCACAATGGCTTATTTTTCCTGCTTTATGCGGAATAATAGATTGGCATTTAGTGTGCATGTAACCCCCAATGGTCTCTGATGTACTCAGTCCAATCGGTAAACTTATGTGAGCATTAGAAACGCTTTTTGTGTTCTTTAACAGTACGGTTTTGGTCAAACCTCTTCTCTCTACGTACCAATGCCGATTTCTTTACCTAAGGTCTATAAGAATTCAGAGGTGACAGCAACTCTTACGCTGTTTACTTTTGTCTTTATCTTATTAATCCCCCCCCCCCTTCCCAACTTTACCAGCCGAAATAACAATAAAAATGCTTTTTCGAAACGTCGGAACATAACACAACTGAGTAAAAACAATCATGTGAATATGTGAAGAGTTAAGTAAGTTGTCTGTTTATCTGCACCTTTTATATTTTTCTTTACATTATGATGGAATTCAGGGTTAGCCAGACACTTTGATACCTTTTCAAGAAAAACATTTGGAATGATTCTGTTTTATATAGAGACTTTCAAATTTACTTTTCTTCCTCTTTTCTTAGAAATGTGCTTTTACTTGTGTCATTTCTTTTTCTGTACAAAGGCACTGAGAAATGACCAAATACGTTGGTGTGTTGAGCTGTTGTAGTTTTTTTACTACCTCATTTTGCAAACATTTTTGACTGTTTTTCTTTTGTTTGTTTTTGATTTCTTGCTTGGTGCTATGACACCAAGATGTGTGATGTAACCATTGTCACTGCTTTTAGTTTGCTGTCAGTGGATGCTCTAGTTTCACTGGGACAAACTATTGTTCCATCGGTGTTCTTCTCTTTCTGACTGAGATGTATTTCACACGCCCTAAACGTTTTAAATGATATTTATATGAACGTAAAATATTTACAGGACACGTAAAATCACTGGCATCTCCCGGAGCTGTTTCTGAAGTTAGTTTGGGAGGAGAGTTTTACGTTTTTTCACTCCTGCCTGTTTTGAGAACGGACACAGATTTGGAATTACAATCTCATAAATCGTCTACATTATGATATTATTTTGACTTAGAACTGACAGTTTTGATAGAAACCCAAATCCAAAGGAAAGTTCTCCTCCTTGGAACGGAGTCTTACAGATAGTACTCATTTTTAATATTTATTTTTGAACTGTATTTAGATGTGGCAATTTTTTAAACTCTGCATCACTAACATTAAGTGATTTGGGGACTGTTATAGATTCTTTTCTTCTCCCCCGTTTTTATGGACATTTAATCTATTTTGATAATTTGGTTTTTGTTTTAAATCAGTATTATCATTTGCACGTGTATACTAAAGGATTTCTCGCCTGTTTTTATGTTCCTACATTCAATTTTACATCCTGTGTCATCGTGGGTATTGTACAATTACCTCAAGTAGAGCTTTTTAATGTTGCTGGATGTGCAAATTTTCTGTGCAAAGTACCAAATGTGAATCTAATCGGCAGTATGTATGTTATGTTTTTATCTTGTATCTGATTACTTGCAACAGGTGGTTGGTTGGAATGTGCTCCTGATCTTTCCCTTCTTTTCTTTCTTTCCATCTTTTGTCTGCGTTTGTCTACCTTGATTTTTTATATTTTTTTTCGGTGCTCTAAATGGTCATTATCGTGTCGGTTTGTTTCTTAACACTCAATTTAAACTTATCACTTACTTAAATTAATTTATTTCAATTATTCTATTATATTTCTTGTATTAAGCACAAACCAATAAATGGAAACTACTTTGTGATCTTTTTTACTGGGGGTGGGTTTCAACACATATCGATGAATGTCTTGAATAGCTTTTGATCTTGTTGTTTCATTCAAACTCTAATTTTTAAAAAGAAATGCTATATTTGATATTAAAAAGAACTGTTCCCAAAGATAGACCCAAGCTTGTGTCTGCCGTATGAACATAGATTTACTTATCTATATTTTTCTGCCAAAGTCCTCTACTAAAACTAAAACTACAAGTATATGTACATGATTATGAAATGCACAAAATATAATATACACATAAATGACATACAGTTATGATTAACATGATGTCCTCAAAACAATTTCCTGAAAGTGCCAAAACGAAATTCCTCGCAACTGCATTCCAGACTATACATGTGTTTCCCTTCTAGGAGTCTGCGTCATCGCTTTCTCCGCACTCTTGCATTCTCCAATGGGCTGGCTATGGCACCATGCTGGTGTTTACTGTTGTGTTCACCAAAAGGGCATGTTGTTTATGGTAGGCTGTGTTTATTCGCCAATGTCGACAGACGAACATCCACTCTCAAGTTATCTATTCGCTAACATTCATCTGGAATATTTTTTTTTTTCACACGTAAAGTTTGTGGGGGAGAGTTACAGAATGTAATTGTAACGTATACTACATGTAGTCCAGCCAAATACACTGTCTAATGCGGGGGATTGAACACACGCCTGGCATTTCCATCATAATATGGAAGGGAGAGTTAAATATTTTAGGACAAATGGACAAATGGTTATTCGCCGGTATTGAAGAATACGCATGTTGTATAATAATAATATGACTAATGGTAATTTTAAAAATTACTAGGAGAATTTGAAAGCTGCTTCAGTTAGTTCCGCCCGTCATGAGAGATGGGTAGAATAATTTTTATGCATTTTATTGAAGGCTTCAGTTGTAGGCGTGAGAGTTGGAACAAGCCACACTTGCTGTCTCGGGAAACCTTAGCAAAACATG